GATGAATTCACCAAGAGGGCCCCACACAGCGCTAGTGATTTTAGACTCATTGCATGGGATTTTCATGTAAGGCTCGTCGCTTTCTGCGGAGAGGAAGGGAAGAGTTAGACAAATGACTCATTTGCAGGTGATCCAAGTTTTCCCACAGTCCCTGTCTTCCATGCAGGTATTTGCTTGAATTCCTTACCAATCTGGCTGGGGTCACGAAGGTCAAAGAAGCTAACAAAACACTGATAACCCATCTGCTTATCTGTGGAGAACATGATGATGTTTCCTCCAAAGTCAAAGCCGCAGGTTCGCACAGCTGAGTTGGTCTTCACCAACGCAAGCTGCTTTCCTAGACACAGGACAAAACCGGTTAGATTGCACAGGATATCCTCACCCCTTACCATCGCCCCTCCCTTCTGCAGTGTGAATCATAGTGCTGAGCTGGCCAGTATGCAATGCTCAGATCAAGAGCAGGCTAGAGTCTGTACGAAGCACTTCTTAATTTTCCGAAGTGCTAGTGAAAAATCCTCCCTTGGACCAATCTTTACAAGTCATAAGATTAGCGAACACTATCCGTTTAATCACAAAAATTTCACTAAGCAAAGACAGGAAACTTGGCCTGGGTCTTGCCATCAACTATGATCAATCAGTCAAACACTTAACGCACATAACTGTCTATTCTCATTGCTCATTTTTCCACTGAGTATTTAGCTAGGCCAGCAAGTTCTGTTCTGAGCTGTGACAAGTGCCCCACCATCATCTCTTTAATTGGTAACGAGTCTCGATGTTCCTCTATAGGTCACAGAAGCATTCTGTCTTTCTGTGGACCTCCTGCTGGACACCTTTCCTACTCACAGGACGACACCAATTCATCCACTGAAATATGATTTACAAGACCAGGAAACCCATAGGTGCACATACATGGTTTTCTTTAAAATTCTGGATGAATTAGGCACTCATGAAACTTAGGATACTGGCCAGAGATAAAGCAAATTAGTCTGGACAAGCTACCCACACGCTAGTCTCCCAATGCACCTGAATCCTAATCTGCACCAGCAGTCCCTGGCCTTTTCGGGGCAGACACTGTTACTTCCTGCCAGTTTGGATGGTGAGGGAGTTACGAAAGAATATTTATTAGTGGGTAAGGGTAAGAGTGAGACCAAACCCATCTTCACCAGTGGTCCTAAAGTAAAATTAGAATCCTAGCTTATTCCCCTGCCACTCAGCTCAAGGCAATTAGATTTCATAGATATAACTATGCTCTAATGAGAGAGTTTAACACTCCCCCTCACCCCAATATTCTTGTCTTACCTGTTTCACAGTCCCAGAGCCGGCAGGAGTTGTCTGCAGAGCCAGTAAGCACGTGTCTTGTGTCCCCTGCATCAACAGTTAGGGAATGCCAAGAAATTCTCACACCCCATCACCCCAAAAGGCCAATAGCCACATTTTGCCTTAGGATGCATAAGGACACAAGCTATGCAGTAGCTACAGTATTTATCTAGAATCAGAAAAAAAAATCATGCAGATGAAATAACTTCCATTCCAACATACTATGTCCAGGCACTTACGCTGCTGAGGGAACCATAACTTTGAATTTCCTGCTCTGGGGCATTAAGGAGCTCAACTCTTAAATGCAAGAAACCTGCCCTAATGTAACTTTTATCACCTATCTGCATTGGTGACAGACGGTCACTTTGAAATTCAGGCATCTTCTAAGAACTCCACAGCACTGTGAACCACCATGATTTCAACAATTTCCGTCCCACCATCAACCTCAGCCTGGACCAGTCCACACAAGAGATCCACTTCATCGCTTATTAGCACTGTAGTGTCCAGGGTCACATAAACACCACCCTATACCGGAAACCAACTGACCGCTATTCCTACCTACATGCCTCCAGCTTTCATCCAGACCACACCACATGATCCATTGTCTACAGCCAAGCTCTACGATACAACCGCATTTGGTCCAACCCCTCAGACAGAGACAAACACCTACAAGATCTCTATCAAGCGTTCTTACAGCTACAGTACCCACCTGCTGAAGTGAAGAAACAGATTGACAGAGCCAGAAGAGTACCCAGAAGTTACCTACTACAGGACAGGCCCAACAAAGAAAATAACAGAACGCCACTAGCCATCACCTTCAGCCCCCAACTAAAACCTCTCCAACGCATCATCAAGGATCTACAACCTATCCTGAAAGACGACCCATCACTTTCACAGATCTTGGGAGACAGGCCAGTCCTTGCTTACAGACAGCCCCACAACCTGAAGTGAATACTCACCAGCAACCACACACCACACACCAGAACCGCTAACCCAGAAACCTATCCTTGCAACAAAGCCTGTTTCCAACTGTGTCCATGTATCTATTCAGGGGACACCATCATAGCGCCTAATCACATCAGTCCCACTATCAGAGGCTCGTTCACCTGCACATCTACCAATGTGAGAAATGCCATCATGTGCCAGCAATGGCCCTCTGCCACGTACATTGGCCAAACTGGACAGTCTCTACATAAAAGACTAAATGGACACAAATCAGACGTCAAGAATTATAACATTCAAAAACCAGTCGGAGAACACCTCAATCTCTTTGGTCACTCGATTACAGACCTAAAAGTTGCAATTCTTCAACAAAAAAATTTCAAAAACAGACTCCAATGAGAGACTGCTGAATTGGAATTAATTTGCAAACTGGATACAATTAAGGCTTGAATAAAGACTGGGAGTGGATGGGTCATTACACAAAGTAAAATTATTTCCCCATGTTTATTCCCCCCTGTCAGACATTCTTGTCAACTGCTGGAAATGGCCCCACTTCAAAAGGTTTCCCCCTTCCCCCCCTGCTCTCCTGCTGGTAATAGCTCACCTTACCTGATCCTTCTCCTTACCATGTGTATGGTAACACCCATTGTTTCACGTTCTCTGTGTATATAAATCTCCCCACTGTATTTTCCACTGAATGCATCCGATGAAGTGAGCTGTAGCTCACAAAAGCTTATGCTGTAGCTCACAAAAGCTTATGCTCAAATAAATTTGTTAGTCCCTAAGGTGCCATAAGTACTCCTTTTCTTTTTGAGCACAGTAAGTCAGTCAAAAGTGATGTCTGACTAAGTGAGGGTAGAACACAACAGCCCGCAGTTCATTTACTATTTAAATGGGTGGGGGGAGAAAGAGAGGGAGAAGCCAGCAGAGAGTAATTGAAAGACCAGGATACCAACAATAAAAATCACTTATTGTAGTGCCTGCCACCTAGTGTCCACAATAAAAACACCCCACTTCATACGTGAGAAGAATCATCAAAAACAAGCAGACAGACAGGTTTCAGTCACCAAAGGATACAATCTGCATCCACACACCAGACAGCTCCAGTGTGGCCACTGTAAGTGCCAAGCCTCTCTCCATTGATTGAATACCAAACATTGACAATCTGGGAAAGCAAAACAATTAGTCAAGCATCCACTTTAGATCAAGTTGCGACATAAGTGAATGCAATTTATTTCCATATGGTCTCATCTTTGAGAATCTCAAGTCTACATCACTGCACATACAAACAGGAGCACATGCGGTATAATATAGCTAATGGGCAACATCACTAAAGGTAGTAGGATAGGAACGTTAAAGGGTGGAGAGGTCAAATTGGACAAAATGGATTTTCAGACTACACAGACGATCTAATACAGCTTAATTACCAATTTGTATACAGTCTCTGTAAAAGCCAAACCCCGTATAGTGCTACCATGCAGGACTGAGAACTCTCCATGGGATAGGTTAGAAAGATAGAAACTCATGGCAATGCCCAAGTCCCAGCCTCTTGCAAAAGGCAGTCATCATAATAACTTGCTGAACGAAAAACTGACCCCACCACCTCAGCTATGGGTTTGTGCCACCCTCACCATACTATTAAACAGGCTGCAAGAACTTTCATGTTTTTAGAATCCTGTTTAAGTTCTCCCCCACAAAAAAAGTTCGAGAGACATGAAACACTTAACTCAAAGGCTCTGGAATACTTACAGGATCTTTGGCTACTGTAAAGAGTAGGTCTCCTTCACGGTTATATTTTATTTGAGTAATGGACCGCTCATGCCCTTGCAACAGTATAGGTTTCTAAAGGGAGATAGATCGTTTTTTTTAAAAATCCAGTATTTTAAAACAAAATTACAAACCTCCGAGCTTTACAGTTTATGCAAATACACAAGTACAGAGTTTCCATCAAACACAACTACAGCTAGACCATTTGCTCCTGTTTCCACGTTTTATACCATGAAACCTGCATAAGAAAACCTCATCTCTCCAAAGAGATGGAGCTAAATTCATCCCTGGTGTGAGCCCGTTAGTCAACGTTAGCAGAGTCCAAGTCCCCAAACCACACAGCATTACTGGCTGTTTATTTTCCCAGGCTGCCAGGTCTCGCGGGGAAGCCCTGGAAGGGGATCTGTCATCTCACAAGCCCGGACACTTCTGAGCCCAGCAGGCTGAAACAATAAAGACTGCGGATTGAATTCGATGCACAGACACGAGGGGCCAGAAAGAAGGGGGGAGAAAAGGGAGGGCACGGCACCGCGGGGATGGGCTCCAGGCCGGGTGAGGATGGGAGAGGCACGACACCGCGGGGACGGGCTCCGGGCAAGGCCCGGGTGGGGGTGGGAGAGGCACGACACCGCGGGGACGGGCTCCGGGCAAGGCGCGGGTGGGGGTGGGAGAGGCACGACACCGCGGGGACGGGCTCCGGGCAAGGCGCGGGTGGGGGTGGGAGAGGCACGACACCGCGGGGACGGGCTCCGGGCAAGGCGCGGGTGGGGGTGGGAGAGGCACGACACCGCGGGGACGGGCTCCGGGCCCGGGGAGGGGGGAAGGGCGGTAGAATCCTCTCTCCCCACAGAGACCCCCCCTCAATTCCCGCTGGGCCCAGCCCAGGAGGCCCCGCACTCACCATGGCGGCGGCTCAGCCCCGGCAACAGGCTGCGCAGCGCTCCGCGTGAAGGGAAGGGGGGGACCACTTCCGGGTCAGGGGGCGCGGCCGGGCCGGAAGTGAACGGGAGCCGCCATGGCCTCTGCGGGTGAGTTTCCTGCTTCCGGGGGCCACCTCCCCCCCCAACCCCCCACGACAGGGCTCGGCCCGGGGAGGGGTCCCCCCAGGGTGGTCCAGAGGGAGGGGCGGGGCCCGAGGGGAAGGGCCCCCCAGGGCGGGGCGAGGGGGGGGCACAGGGGCTTCTTGTGCAGGGAGAAGGGAGAGGGTCCCCCGGGGGGGGCTTCCTGGGCGAGAAGGGCCCCGTGGTGTGGGGCCCAGGCGAAGGGGATTTCCACTGCTGGGGGCTCCCCACTGGGGAAGGTGCGGTTCAGGGGGGTCCTCAGTGTTAGGGGTGCAGGGGAAGAGGATGGTCGGGGGGGTCCCCAAGGGTGGGGGGGGGCTCCACGGAGGAAGGGAAGAGCAGGCAGTTCCCCCTGCACCACGGGGGATTGACAAGCCTTCCCGTCTGTAATGGGGCCACCGAAGGGCCAAGACAGTGGCTTCACTGACCCTGTAGACCAGGGCGGGCAAACTTTTTGGCCCGAGGGCCACATTTGGGGTTTCAGAACTGAATGGAGGGCCGGCTAGGGAAGGCTGTGCCTCCCCAAACAGCCTGGCCCCCGCCCCCTTTGTGCCCCCTCCCACTTCCTGCCCCCCTCAGAACCCCTGACCCATCCAACCCCCCCCCCCCACACACACACTCCTTGTCCCCTGACTGCCCTGACCCCATTTACACCCCCGCCCCCTGACAGCCCCCCCCGGGACTCCCACGCCTATCCAACCCTCCCTGTTCCCAATCCCCTGACACACACACACACACACCCAGAACCTCTGCCCTATCCAACCGCCCCCTGCTCCCTATCCCTAGACTGCCCCCCGGGACTCCCTGCCCCTTATCCAACCCCCCGGGCCCCTTACCATGCCACTCAGAGCAGCATGTCTGGCAGCCGCACCTCCCGGCCAGAGCCACACGCGCTGCCCTGCATGAGCACGCAGCCCCGCCGCCCAGAGCGCGGCCCGTGCCAGGGGCTAGCCTCTGTATTTGAGCTTATGCTCAAATAAATTGGTTAGTCTCTAAGGTGCCACAAATACTCCTTTTCTTTTTGCAAATACAGAATAACACGGCTGCTACTCTGAAACCTCCCAGGAGCTCAGGGGCCGGGTAGGACAGTCCCGCGGGCCGTAGTTTGCCCACCTCTGTTGTATACGCAAACATGCCCAGTTGTTCGTTGAGCGGGTGCCAACTGCTTCCCAGGACATCACCTTTAAAGGGCATCAGGATGTAGCCAGGTTTTTTAAAGCTGCTCAACTCCTTTTGCTTAGTACACGCTGCAGGTTGCACAAATGCTACATGGTTCCAGGCTGGTGGCATGGGGGGAGTGCCACAAATGTAAACTGATTTGTGTTTGGTGCCAACACATCTCAAGCCAGCACTGACTGGGCCACAACACACTGCTAACAAGACCTCTAAAGTAATGTAGAGCCCAACTTTCTCACTGATAGTTTATTTAACCTACTTTCATGGACTGGAATAATTTGCAATAGTAACTGGACAGAAAAAGAACTGAAGCACAAATAAATGTATAATAAACCTGCGTGAACATCACATAGTAACGTTTATTGCAAAATACTGCACCGTCAGCAGCATTCAAACAGGACTGTTCAGTGTTTTGCACTATTCTAAAATACATAATGCACCATAAAAGCGCAGAGCTTTTTAACATCTCTCATTCTTTAGTGCTTGCAGATGTGATGATTGGGTTGCATTTATTGTAGGGGAGCTGGTCACAACATTGTTAAGGTTGATTGTTATTTAGTAAATAACACTATGTTAATGACACAGATGCACTAAATGTACTTGCTACATTACAGAAGACATCGTAAGAAAAGACCCCTACGCCTAGGAGCTTATAGTTGACCTCAGACAAATACTATGCTGGGGACTTTAGTTCTTTAGTTTAGTTTAGACTATAGTTCTTCTGTGAGAGTTGGTTGGTAAGATCATTCCATAGGAGGCTTTATAGAAGAAACGAGGTTTAAAGAAGGATTTGATAGTTTGACTCACATGGAGTGAGAGACTTCCAAACAGGTGGGAGTGCATTGAGTTAGAGAGAGCAGTAAGGATGAGAGAGAGGGTAGAATGGGAGTTCTGGGTGCTTTCCACAATTGGGCTTTTAACACAGGAGAGAGGGGGAAAGTGAAGGAATTTGTGATGGTCACAGTGGCAGACGCAGGACTGATGTTCAGAACACAAGTTTAGTCGCAGAGCAAATGGCAAGTTCCACCCTGCACTACATGCAGCCACGGAGTTGGGATAATGTAAGAACTAAAGTGAGAAACTCATATTACAGGACACAAATAATCCCTGAACTGTGGTGGTTTGTGATTGTGTTGCAGGGGAAGTGTCTGCACTGGTCCTAGTGGCTATTCTGTGGGGAGGGACAAACCCATTTTTGAAGACGGGGACAGAGGGACTGGAGAAGGTGAAGCAAAGGAACCGGGTGCTGCAGCTGCTTGCAGAGATGAAATTCCTGTGCCTCAATTATAAGGTATTAGAACCCTCTCCAAACCATTTCAGATAGTGCCAAGGGGGCCTCCTGGAGGGAGATTGTTTTGAATGTCTGTGGCTTAATCTGGCTTTAACATTAATTTTCTTGACCATTTAATTATATCTGCTCTGGGCTTGATGGTTTTTATTGGAAATTTAATTTTTATCCTTTGTGATATTCCATTTAGCTTGCATATGATACCACTTTTCCCATGAGGGTTTCAAAGCACTTTACACGCATTAGTTAATTCAGCCTCATATCATTCCTGTGAAATAAGTGTTCTCTCTCTTTTACTGACTAGGAAACTGAGAAGTTATGAGACTGACCCAAATTCACACGAGGAGTCAGTGGCACAACCATAAACAGAGCCCTGTGATTTAACTGCTAGACCACACTTCCTTCTAGAGTGAGGAATAGGACAAATGAGTCCTGGTTCCTAATTCCCCACTCTAATAACTAGCTTCACTTCCTCATATAACATTCATGCTGTGTATATGGTCATTTCATGTGCAGTGACTGAATATGTTATGTTTTCCTTGTAGTACATGGTGCCATTTCTGTTTAACCAGTGTGGATCAATAATCTACTACCTCACATTGGCATCCACAGGTTAGTCCTTCCCATTATGTTTCAGTGTAGTGGGATAGCTGGGGCTGGATAGACAATTTCATCCTTTGGAAGTTCTGTGGCCCAGCCAAAAAATCAATTACACATATCTAGGCTTGGCAGAATGTATTATTTTTTAATTTTGACATAACATTGACATTTATTATTAAACATTTTTTGTATTTTTATCAATTTAAATTTTCACAATTGCAGAAAATTATGGGGGATGTGTCAGGCAATTATTTAATGACAGCCTTTGAGATGCAAAAAAATTAAATATTTATAATCATTAAAACAGATTGTCACATCACATGTTAAAATATATAAAGTAAATTTCCTTAAAATACAGTAAGTTCTCAAGCAGCATTTTTCTCACTTTGCCTATCTGTAAATATTTTTTCATTGGTTTGTGTGTAAGGTGAAACCAATGTTTATCAACAAAAATCTAAGCTTTCCAAGCCTACATATAACAGGATAGCAGCAGTTTTGCATTGGTGATGAGAAAGTGATTTTTACAAGATTTAGTTTTTAAACTGTGGTTAACTGATCATGTCAACATTCCCTGTTCAATTTCAGACCTGTCCCTGGCGGTGCCTCTCTGTAACTCTCTGGCTTTGATAGTCACAGTAGTAACTGGGAAGACTCTTGGGGAAGACATTGGTGGTAAAAGTAAGTCATACTTCAGTGCAGTGCTTTTATATATGTGCTGTGCACACAGCTTGGCATTCAGCACCATACCTTGAACATCTAGATTACCATTGTTTGGTGTGATCTCTAGCTAGATCATGTAATGCTAGGGGCAAGATGTATGGTTAGTTAAATAGTTCTTATCATAATTGGGGATGGATTTATTGAGGACCCCTCCCCTAGATATGTACAGAGTGATGATCTGGTTAATCCTACCTTCTCATGGATGGATATAAGATAACACTAGTCTGTGTGTGATCATCAGTTGCTGTTGTCTCACTGAGGGATTTGAAACTAGGTTTTAGACAACTCTACTCTGCTAGTAGTAACTTAATATTTTTACATTAAGGAGCTACACTGGGGGTAAGCTCCAGATGGTAAGAATGTTATCCTGTGAGTGCTTTAGGGGAGGGAAGAAACCAAGCAAATTGAAAGTGTGATGACATTTTGTTCCAATAGCAGCTTATTCAGCTTTCTAGGATTATCGTTGAGAGAGGGTGAAATTTGTAGATTTAGAGGCGTCCTGTACAGTTCAAGTCAATGGGAGTTAAGGGTAACCGTACCTCAGGTTCAGGCCTTTACAAAATAAAGACATGTGAGCAGAACAGAACTGGTGAACACCCCTCTGGGCCAAGAAAGATGTTCTATAAAAACCTAAATTACCAATGAAGATTCTTCTTCCTCATCCCCTCCCTCAGTCCAGTGTGTGACACTAGATAACTTCATTAAATGGCTGCAAATTTGAGGTTGTTTGTAACTGACTGGGATGAGGTGCAGCTCCATAGGCCTATGCTAATAGCTACATTTGTCTTTAAACACAGCTATTGTTAGCACAGCGTTAACAAGGTTTCCCTGACTAGAGCAAACAAGGACTTTTTTCCTAAGAACTGTGCTCCAGCCTCCTATACACACACACCTATGCTGTCCGTAGTTTTATAATATAGTTAACAGATTAAAAACAAACTTCTGCACCGCTGTGAGGAAGAGTGTCTAGAACCTGCTATTAACAACGCTACTGAAATTCATCCAGAACTAGCATGTTTCTGATCCTCTCTATCTAGCTAGTCAAACCACATCATCACTGTAGCATGTGAACGGAGGACAAGGCCTAACTGATTAGTGGTGAGTGTTCATAATTCCTCCCATTTTTGTATGTCCTTAGGAGCAGTGGTAGGAATGCTGCTTACTATCTTGGGAGTTGGTCTATGTATAGCTGGTTCTGTGAACAAGTGAGAGACCGTGACAGTGGAAGAAGAAAGAATGCGCAGAAGGTAATGCCATTGTTTGGGATAGGTACCCCTGCCTCTCTGGACCCAGATCAGCTGCCAGTGGTGTGGTCTAGAACCAAGGCAACGTGGAAGGGTGAATTTTGATACCTAAAGAAGAAGATTTCTGAAAACAGTTGTCTCTTTGCCTTTCCAAGGTTGAGGTCTTGTTCTTTTGGGGGCACTAAGCCTTGAATATTTGGGGTTTGAGCCCCCAATACTTAATTTACGTGCAGAATCCTATGCAAAAAATTAGTGTCCCGATCTTCCTCCAACCTCCCTTCTAAGTCTCCCAAAGTTCCACACTGCTGGAGTCCATGGTGTAATCTCCATTTATTGTACATCCCCGTGATGGACATGTTGACATTCCCACCCACACAGTGAGGGATTTGGAACCAGAGTTTACTCTGTTAAAAAAAAAAAAATGTACTGGGTTGCAGAGTTGAAGGGTCATCTCATCACTAGATAGTACATTTTAAAATCTGAAAAAAAAAAACCCTTTATATCCATCAGGGGAATATTTGACACGGGACAGCAGAAAATGGTTCACCAAGCTTATTTCCGGAGGTAGCTACTGCACTCAGACTCCGCACTGTACTCTAATTGCTACATCACCCTATTTCTAGAACCCAAAGGCTGAACAAACTAGATAGGTTCATACTCATCCCCTCCTCAGTTTTTCCAGAATGTCTTTTCTTCCGTGTGTGCCTCTTAGACTGTAAGCTCTTTAGAGCTGGGACTATCCTTAACTTGTCTTGTTCAGCACTTACTGGATAATAAATTACCACCAAATGCTCTGAGCCAACGTCCCTCCTGGATTGAGACTTACAACTTAACTGAGAACCCAGCTAGTCTCTCTGCTGCAGAGGTGTTTGGAAGGACTCCCCTTTCATGGGGGAGTAAAAGTTATTCTGTACAGTAAAAATTAATTCCTTCCCCCCCCATTTCAGATACAAACCAGCTCCTTGACTGTGGAAATTAAAAAACGTAGGCCCAGGCATTTCCCATCTTCCTCCCCAAGCACCTTCCCCAAGAAAGGAAGAAAAGTGTTTATATTAAAATTTATATTTTTAAAAATATATTTTGAATGTGTCTGACTCATTGTTCAGCTGAAGCCTGCTTTACAAAGCCCAGGAAATGAAGGCATTCTTATTGTTTAAAACAAGCATTTTTTAAAATCCTTGGATTTGATCAAGGTGCTTATGTTGTTATCCACCACAGCACAGAGAGTAAAGCTAACTTGATCTCCATTTCATCACAGTCACTTCATTAACTCTTTGGAGCTTCACACAGTCGGAGAAATGGCTCTTTCAGTTCTCTTCCTCCTCCGAGTCACTGCCGTAATTTTGCATTGTCAAGGCCTTCCGCCATCTGTCAGTGCTCCCAACCTTTCCCCATTTAAAGACAAAACAATACAAGTGACTTTTAATGTAACTAACGTGGTGTTGTATAGTGGTTACAGTCAGGGTCTGGCATTAAGAATTTCTGGGTACTGTTCCCAGCTATGCCATGGACTTGCTATATGACCGCAGACTTCTGCGTGCTTCAGTCTAAACACCTTTAAAATAGGCTTAGGGATTCTTGCCTACAGCACAGGAAGGCTATGAGGCTCAAATAAGTGTTTGTATAGCACTTTGAGGTCTGTGGATGAAAGGCCAACTACAATAACATCAGCATTTGCAGGAGGCAGCAGGGTACTCTTTGCAGACAAAGAAACGCTGCCCCAGCCTGTGAAGTAAATACAGAATACAAGGATCCAAATTCACCCCAGAGGCCAAAGTGCTTCATTAGGTTATTCTGATGTTAACTAGGAACGGCTCCGATTTAAGTCTGAATTTTACCTTTGATCTTAAAAAGGAACAGGAGCAGTCCCATAACATATGCAATGGGACAAAATGCATTAACTCTAGAAATTCTTATGAAAACTAGTATAAGAAAAATTACTCCCCCCAAAGAGCAGGCACCTTTATAAAAACTCCAAAAAACTGGGATTTTATTCATTGCAAAAGAAAAAAGTTTCAGACTATTGCTGCTAAGTGACTGAAGAGATTTGTTACAAATGTGTTGAGCAGCTGATTGTGTGTGTGCCACAAGCATCCATACTTTGCATGTCTGAAAGCACCACTTGCAATGCCTAATTTATATGAAATAAAATACTCCTGCCTCCATATTTAATAGAAGTGCAACCTGCAGAAACTTGGTCCCAGCATGCACTGCACCATCAGGACCCCAGTAGTCTTAACAGGCTGCATTATAGTATTAAAGATTAGGGCAGCTGCAGGCTGAGACATTCAGCTGCAGAGGCCAAACTTCCGCCACCCTTGGAGGACGCCAAGATTCAGCTGTCAATCTTTTACACATTCAAAATCTAAGCCTCTGATAAAGAGGTTTTTACAGTGAAGGTTTGTAACCACAACTACAGTTCCACAAGGTGAGACAATAGCACACAGTAAGTGGCATAGCATTCCCCTGATACTGTGTGCAGTTATTTTGGTTTTAAGAGTTTATTGTATCAGTTGCTTTATAAGTCACAATTAGGGGATAGCAAATTTGTGTCAGTTTAAGAATTTGTACTGAGTTACCCTCCTGTTAAATTAAAACCAGTTGCATCTTAGGTATCTAATCTTAACTTGCTTACTTTCACACTCTCCGTCTTACACACACACACACTTTACAAGTATACTGGACTGTTTAGCAGTACCTTGCTGTGAGGAGTCATTTCGCTTTTTGGTATAACTTCTTCCACAGTCTCGGCAGCTCTCTGGAGAAGAGAGAAAATAACGACAAAAATCAGGGGCAACCAATTTTATCTTTAAGTCTCTGCTCTGTTGGAGAGCTGTATGACTCTTACAGCTCTGTAGAAAGGCCATCTCTAGAGTCCTGTGCAAATGCAAAAGTGTGGATCCACATCTGATTCACATCCACAAGAATCAACTCTCTGTATATGGCCGGGTAGGGGGGGTGGATATAGGATCTGGAAGGTGGGGAAGCAGCCTCACAGGCTATGAGCTGCAGACAGTGGATTCCCTCCCTTTGAGATCCTATATTTAGAGCCCTGCGCAGATACAAAATTTGTATCCTCATCCGATCTCACAGTAGCAGCCTGAGCTCCCAGACAGTAATGCAGGAGAGAAAAAGCCTTTTAGTAATTTACCAGAGAAAGTTATACCTCATACCTGATCAACAGGTAGCTCCATCTTTGTGTATTCGTCCTCCACAACTTCCTGGGCACCTCGCATCTCCTTCCTCGGGTCTTTCACTTTATAGACACTTCCCTCTTCTGTGAGGAGAAGAAAGATCTTAAGAGGGTATCACAGACACTAGCTGTGTCTTAGTGCAGCTTAAGCTATAGGAATGGCTAGGTCCATTCTAGTGTTTCTGGGGGTCTTTCATCACTGCCTGCCATGTTGCTAGCACTGAGGAAATAGCATTAATAAGCTGTTAACCATGTTTAGAGTTTGATTTTATATAGCAAATCAGATTAAGAAAACATTGGGTCGGTTCATAAATCTCATTTAAAAAAATGTTCCTGACACAGTTACAGGGTGAGCTGCACCTCTGTCCCCTTTCTAGGTCTCCCAGACTTCCCCCCACACCCTGTTAGACCTCATGCCTTCATCTCTCTGGGGTGGAATCATGCATTTTTCCCACTCTTAGATCAGGTCTGAGCACTGACCATGCTTACCCAGCAGGTCCAACTGGGTTTGGTACCTGCCGTTCTTCCTTTCGGGAATCTATGACCAGTGGTGAATAGAGTGATCATACAGCCTTCTTAAACCAAAGTATTGTTTAACAGTAGGAACAAAGCACTTAGAGAAAAATGATTTTAAGACATCAGTCTATCTTACCTACACACTTACCATCCCTGGACGGTAACTGAGGTACGCCTAACTACTCCTGACACCCCAGAGGAGCCTATGTCAATCTGGTTTCCCCAAACAGCTCCAACAACTCCTCCCCCTCCCGAGAGAGAAAGAGTTCCTTTTTAAACTCCTATAGTGCTTTTGATCTCTAATTCACAGCCTTTTCCCCATCCTGGCATTATCTCTTAACAAACCTTAGGTATTTACTAAGGGGATGGGGGGGTCTTATCTTGAACCACTGTGTTTCCTTCCTGCTTGTTTTCCTTGCAGCCCCCTATTAAACTTAACCAATATAGTCATACAGTAAACATCCAAATAACCAGGTCAACATAAAGGATTCGTAAGTTATTGCAGAGCAGCTCCACATCCACCACAGTTCCTTCCCTGCCTTGCTGGTAGGTGTTCAGACACATTTGCTTTTCACCTTTTATGCTCTTTAGCTATTGCACCAGCAGATACCGCGGGGGTGCAACTCAGAGCAACTCCAGACAGAGTTCAGTATCTCAGCTTCACAACGACTCATGTCTCAAGAAAGTCTCGTTCATGGGGTGTTTGTTGAGGAGAGGAAGGAATGGAATTACAACAGCACTTAGGAGATACACTAGCCACTGTTTCCCTGTAGCACCTCCGAGTTAGACAGATTACTCCCTTAGCATCAAGTTAAAGCCATTCCCTGTCATTCCTAAACATCCATAGTGATGTTCTTTACCTTGGTCAGGCCAGTGTTGCATGTTCCTGCTATTCTTCCTGTTTTGCCCTGCACGGACAGGCTTAGCATGGAAAACAGACTCTTCCTCTTTGCATGGATATTTCCCGGCTTGTCTGCGCACTGCTGGAGAAGGAACGGGGGTCTTGTCTTTCTCTTCATTTCCTGTGGACTGCACCCTGCGATAGTCTGGCTGAAATTAACATTCACAATAACATCCTTAGTTTGTTTCTTAACCTAGGGCTTGTGAGAATGAGAGACTAGTTCTACAGCACTAGTTATAGAGACACTACGCCATCTGCCCAATATGGCCCCACCAGTACACCTCAAAGCTGACTGGCAGGATCCAATATGATACCAGTCCTGAAAACAAGGTTTTAATGCAAACTGCTATGCAGTTTAACTATAGTGGGTCACACCCAGTGCTTGCTATATTCATTACCTGCTGAGGTGGATCAATGAGGGCAGAATCGCTAGCTCCATCCTGGGAAGTGGCATAGCTTTTACCAAACTGAGAACAAGAACAGGAAATGTTTCAACAAATGTAACAAGACAGACACTCCTCCAAAAGGGCATAGCAGCCAGGACTTGTTGGGACAGTTCGTTTTCAGTGGAGTGCCCAGCTGACCCCAGCTCCTGTAGCTGAGATCCCTGTATGACCACTTCCTACTCACACAAGAACTCTCTCCTGTCCATTCCAAGATGGATTCTCAGAACAGCTGCCTTTATTGATCATGAAGTGACAAAAAGAAGGGCACAAGCCCAAATTTGCAAGCCAGCTCTATGGAGCACTGTACAACAGAAAGGAGAACCAGATGGCCACTGGCTACACAAATGTCTCCTGCTGGTCACGGGCATGCCAGAGAAAAGGACACCACAACCAGGACCATCCGAAAATAAGATCTGAAGAAGTCAACATCAAGGTCCCAAAATTAAGGAAGAAGGAGGTGTTTAAGGCCTGCTCTGGAAGCTTCTGTTGGATGAAGATAATACGCCATGGCAAAACACTAAGATCTACTAATGATCTTACTAGGAGGCTGCATGCTTCATTGCTTCTGGAGGCTGCGTTTACTGCACACACCAGGTGCTCCTTGCATCCCTCCATTCTCCCCGTGTGCCACTCTCCTCTATGTCAGGGACTCCCTGCAGCCCCCTCCACTTCTCCCCCATATCAGACCCCTTCATCTCCCCTTGCCCCCTGTGTGTGACCCCATTCTACCCCGTGCCAGGGCTACCCATTCCCCCAGCCATTCTTATTCTCTCTCTTTCTCTTTCATCTTTTCTCCCCTGTTCAGGATGGTCAACATTTTAAACTCAGTGGAGATCGAGACAGAGCTAAAATAAGTGGTATTATTAGGCTGGAATGTCCAAACAGAAAAATGCCATCGAGTTGATGTAAAGGCCTCACAAGCTCAGCCAGTTACGATTATACTATAAAGAGCGGGCAAGTAGGGTGCCTTCATAGGGCAGCTGAGGAGAACACCGCTATTGCTTAAAACAGAGAGAAATGAAGCAAAGATGGGCATTTCCAGCCAAGACCCATTGCTCATATCCAGAGGATATTGTATCAGAATCAGTGTTGGGGGAAGCTTTTCTGTTGCATCCATTTACATGTGTCCACTATGTACAGATTTATGTCTAAACCAGCTTGACAGCTGGTCTGTAGCATAAATGTAGCAGCCCACGCAGGCTGAGCTACCTACCCCGTGATTGTGGATCCTGCGTCTGTTATTTGGATGGTTCCTGAAACACAGAAAACCGAATCTCAGCATGTTGAGATCCAACATATTCAGCGACAGGGTGTGCGTCCATGGGATGCGCATGCACAAATATTCACCCTGGAATTTTTTTCCTTTTCCACATTCACAAGCAAGTGCAGCGCTGGTGAAAGGTGCTGGATTGACAGCCCTGGAGGTCTCTATTCTCAGAGCAGGCAGACCACAGGTAGCATCAGTGCAGGCTCCCCCACCAGTGTGCTCAGCCCTAATCCGAGCAGGGCGCCGACTCCATGACTGGACTGCTCTGCTGAGATGACCCGCAGGAAGGAGAATTCATGATGCTTGTGAAGAGCTGTTTGACTCTGAACTGAATCAACACCCACCACTCATTTCACACGGGCCACTAAACAGCCAGCAGGTGATTAAAAGAAAAAAGCTCTTAGTCACTGCTGACCTAGGCCAGATTTGAAGCACCATCCTAGAGGTGGAAGGCTCTATCCCACTGCCAATCCCAGACCAGCAAAATCTGCTGCTATTCTCAACTGACAACGGCTTTTTGGCCCTTGCTACAGGACTACTGGGAAACTGAGCCAACCAATCTTTTTCTGGTGCTGGGCACGGGGATTTCATAGGGTGGTTTGTACATGTTAAAAACAGCCCCTGACACTAACATGCATAAAAAAAACCCCAAAATTTTGTACTTGTATCATACTTGTACCCTGACTTCTATCATAATTCAGATTATTTTAATCCAAGGCCTCAGGCACTCTCACAACAGAATCCTAATAATAAGGAAATTGATTTAAGTGTTCACATTTCCCATTTCAAGTTGGGAAATTTGATATGCAAACTCAATAAAAGCTGTTAAAGTTGTTTCCAAGATTCAGACAACACACACTTTTGCCAGGGGATGGGGGGAAGGGCTCCCAGGTTCCAATCACACCAGGAGAGCATCGCTGAACGTCGGCTCAACATTGCGGCATTTCTTTTTGAAGTGATTTTGGGTTAGTTCCAGCCATAGAAGGCGGCCACAGATTTTGAGCATTTCCAGTTTTAGGTGCCCAATTTGAGACACCTAAGGCTTTGGAGTTACAGGTGGCTCAGCATCTCTGAAAATCAGGCCCCTACAGGTCTCAAACTGGGCACCCAAAAAGTCAGAGTTTTGAAAACTGGGGCTTGAGTGATTAAGTTACAGGAAGAACTAGTCATTTGTTCCCTTATTTCCCCTCTCCTCACTCCCATGCGTAAATATGAAGATTATTTTTAAGTTTAGGACCAGCATAACGCACAATCTCTAGGCCACAGGTACCTGCCTACCTACCGTAATGCCCGGTGCTTAGAATTCTCAGGCACCAGCAGCTCAAAGTAGGGCAGATTTTTGTACTTCTCCACCCCTATCGCCACATAGTATTCACCGTTCACCAACTCCTTGCCACTGGAGACTTGGACTCCATCCAGCCGGCAGAGCCTATGGGAGAAGATAGCAAGGGGTTTAAAAAAGCATGGGAGTGGGGCGGGTGAGGGAGCAGCAGCAAATGATCCTGCTTGGGTGGAAGTACACCTTGTGATCAGAACATAGAACACAGGCCAGAGTATGGGCCAATCTCACGGTTGGTGGAGGTCTGCTGAAGTCAGTGGAGTTATTACACCACTGTGAATGTGGCCCAGTGTGTTTCAGCTAAGTTATTTACTGTTCAAACTGTATTTGTTCAGTAAGATTCCCCTCCCCCCCATACACATAAGGCATAATATGAGGATAATGATTTGCTTATAGTTCTTTTCACCTGAGCATAATGAACATTAACTCTCACCAAGCCCCCAAGAGGTAAGTATTATCCCCATTTTACAGAATGTAAAACTTGAGTACCAGGGCCAAACAGCACATCAGTGGCAGAAACAGGATTAGAACCCAGGTGTCCTGACTCCCGGTCCTCTTGTGCTAACCACTAAACAGTGTAAGGGGACACAGTATAGACCAGATGGACATGAGGTAAGGAAAAGCCAGTAGTGCCTCTTACGGATACCCACTTTCGAACAGCTCCACTGCGCAGGTTGGCTCTCTCAGTCAGCAGGCCCAGGATGGCATCCCACTCCTGCAGGGTGCTCTTGGAGAGCAGCAGTCGGAAAGGGGGGCTCAGCAAATCCCCATTCCGGAAAACACTTCAATAAAAGGGCCAAGAAAATATATGTGATGAACCTGTGTTTCCAGCCCCCTGTATCTGTACACCCAACCCCTATGAACAAATAGCCAACTCCTCTAGAACTTTCCAAGCCAGTAGCTCTCCAATAGCCACACAATTAACCAGCTCTTTATTATTGGGTACACAGTGGTTGAGCCAGAGGGTCCAACCAGGATTGGATCTAGGTGTTGTACAAACATATGAGACGGTTCCTTCACCAAAGAGTTTATCATCTAAAACAACAACAGATGAAGAGGCAGGAACAGAATACAACGTAGGAGCAGAGTGAACAAGGCAATGATAGAGGAAAACAACAAATGTACTTATCTCGCCTTTACCCCTAGGAACAGACAATATATGAAGGGCGGAGGAAAGGGAGGCCATCAAAATGTGGACAGTGTTTACCCAGGCACATGTTAAAATTTTCTTTTAAAAGATATATATGAACTATAGCCAACAGCCCCCCCTCCTGTCCATTGTCAGCTGGGCATTTAATTGGAGACACCATGGAAGAAGTGGGCCTTGAGGAGGGATTGGAGAGTGGTGGCTTTATGGATCAGCTTGGGGAGAGCATGCCAAGCTCAAGGGGCAGCATGAGAGGAAGCACAGAGATGGTTGTGGGGGGAGCAATGAAAAAGGCTGGCACTGTTGGCAGAAGAAGCAGAAGAGATAAGAGTGGATAAGTAGAGTTGCAAAGAGCCTCAAAGATGAGGAAAAGACTATGATCTCAGCAGGAACTTGTTGAATGGACTGGAGATCGCCTATAATGCCAGACTCTCGAGGTCAGACATACAGATAGTGTGATCTCCAGTTAGCGTGTCACAAATTTCCTCCCCGTCAAGACAGATCATCCCAAGGCACAGCACGCTGGATTTAGAAGAATTTAACAGTGAGGTGTCAGCCTGTAATAATCCATATGCACAGCCTGTGCTTCATATATTGGACCAAACTGTGCTCTCAGTTTACACTGTTGTAAATCCAGAGTTAACCCAGTTGAAGCCAATGTGGTTACACTGGATTTACACTAAATTGGTATCTGATCCAGTTAAAAGCCCAGGAAATTCTGGTACTAATGGGGCTTTCCATGCTTGTTCTGTTTCAGAAGATGAAACGATTGTGCTCATAGAAAACTATTCCACACATAAGGCTGCAAGATTCATTTAACCCAGGGCTAGAGGAGCAGGGCCCAGAATATATCCAGCTACAGAGGGCTGGTCATTGAAGAGGAGGGGTCCCTTACTTCTAAAGAATGACTTAGTCCTGATAGGGAGGAACTTGATCTCAATGAAGGAGGCATAGGTAGAAATAACAACTAGCTCTGGGAGGGACCAGGGCAGGAATATACCCCTCCAAAGTCAGTTTTCCCCAATTCCTGAGCTCTGGGACTCTGCCTCCAGCCTCCCCAGATCTCCTGCTCCCGAAGGGAATCTTTAGAGAAAAGTCAAAAGGCACTCACTGTATAATGCAGGGCAGGTGGACATTCTTTTGCCATCGCGCTGCCATGTTCAGCTTCTGGGGAGCAACGGGGTGGATCTACAGGCCAGATTCAGCGCACACAAATGTCACTCAAACGCAGAGCTTAGGAGCTGCCTGCCAGGTTGGACTTCCTAACTTGCTGTATGGTCTCATTGCTGCTAGGTGGGGCTTGTTGGCAGGCAAGTCCTGGAGAGCCTCTTCAATCACTCACTCACACACACACACTCAGCAAATGGGTTGGCAAGGCCAGGTGCATAGGGTTGCCAGGGTTACGTCTGTGTATAGGTCTAAGTGTCAATGATGGTGATAGAATGTAAACAAAGGGCTCAGATCTGCTGGCAGTCACCCAGGGGATGTCCCATTGACTCCGAAAGCGCTTTCAGGGCCTTCATTCTTAGGCACCCACATTTATTCCTGTCACCCACACCCACTTCTTCCTGACTCCTGTGCATTGTGCACAACTGCCTCCCCTGCTCGGTTTAGGATTGACATTCTCAGTTCCATTGATGTTTAAATGGGGGTGGGGTCGGGGCGCAGCCAGCTGCTGGTTCTGACAAGCTTATTTATGAGCTGTGGATATTTTGAAGAGATTGGCAGGAGAGCACCCCATACTGCTTTCTCTACAGCATTAGTCATGGTGGGAAGAATGTCACATACCCAGGTAGATCTCACACTGCCCTCCTCCCCCCACATCCTTCACCACCAGGCCCTCATTTAGGGAGTGGTTAGAGGAAGAGAAACACATGCAACCAGCCTTGTAGAAAGTAATTCCCCTGACAAAATTCTCCCGTCCTCTGCTAGTAGCAGGTGGTGTCCTAATCCCTGACCGAGCCTTACATTCTGCTCGCTGTTTGAACAAGGCAACCACCTGTCTCCCACACGGACTCACCTGCATGCCATTTTTTTTCCTGCTCCCACTGAGCTGCTTCATTCCAGGGTTTAAATAGCTGTAAAAACACAGGCAAGAAAATGATCAATACACACCTCTTCTAACCCCCAGCATCCTAACCTGGGGAGAATTTCATTTGTATGTATTAAACTTAATACCTTATTCTAAGTCTCATCAGCATGAATAGAAGTGAAACTGTGGACTAATCAGGCTACAAGAACAAAATTCTAGCTGGTTTTTAACTGATTACGATCACAAGATGGTTATGTCTAGTGTTTACTTCTTTAGAGGTCAATACCAGCAAGAACTGGACCAATGTTAACTGGTTAGGTCACTTCTCAGCTGATAGTTCTTGGCTTCTGCAAATATCTGTATGCCAGTGTTGCCTACATTCACGCTGCAGCCATTCACATTGTATATAAAACTCTCTGCTTCCCAAGTGCTTATCAGCAGGAAATTATCATTTCTTCTGGTTGTCTCTCCCCATCTGCCCTCCAGAATGCTAGACTAACCAACAACTGTTATAATGAAACAATTCTCAGCCAAACAGGCCAAGTTCCAGATACCACATATGCCAACTTCACATTTTGGTGAACAACATGTTTTATCCCTTGAGCGAGACATTGACCAAGACTCCAAGCACTGGCCAGTGTTGCTCAATAAATACAGGTTGACAGTTTCTTCCACAATATTTTCTTACTCAGTCCAGTTCATCCCTCATGAAACTTCACTGACTCCAAAGGAGTTATGCCAGGAATGAATCCAGCTCACTATATTTTAGGCTGCATTTGAAAAATAAATACACATTTGGAAATGCCTGCTCCATGCAGAACATAAGAAACCTGGTAGAATGGAGATGATGCATCAGTGGCTGACATTTCTAGGGACGGACACTTGTGATGGAAGCCCACAGCAGATAGCCCCAGCTAACTCCCACTGAGCTCCTTAAGACACAGAGCTGTGTGTAATGCAACATAATGCTGCACAGCACATACCAACATCCTGCCAGAACATACATTTTTCTGCAGATATTTTCTTATTCTTATAATGTGAAAGATCACCTTGATTTACATTTCCAGTCTCATCCAGCACATCTAGGAATATTCACAGCTGATTCCTGAGTGAAGCAATTAAAAGGACAGATCTCTTCATTCCCAGTTTCAGGCTAACACACAGCTGATTGTTGCATGCCCTTTAAAATCCCGAATATCAAACTTATTTAAAGTCCCTTTAACTTCCCCAACTATTAATTTTAAGCGTAGATAATCTGATGGGAAGTGAAAACCAAGATTACTGACAAGTTGTTATATTCTTTTGTGCCACACAACCGGCTACACTAAGATTTTCCTTCGATAAAGACTGGTTCTTATGCATGGTGAATGAGGCATGCACGAGAGCAGGAATGAGCTGGCTCTGTCAATCAAAACAAGGTGAGACTCTAAGCTCAGCGCTGTCAGCCATATTTATGACAAACCAAACACACTGCATGAATTTCTCATGCACCCCCCATTACCCACTCAGTCTCCAATTTCTTTCCACACTCTGCCTCTTAAACTCTCGACAGAACATAACACACGCAGAAGTGCTGTCTGTTTTCAGCTGCACAGTTACCTCTTCCTTCCCCAGTAGCCACACGGGGATAGGTATCTAAGGTCACTTATCAAGTCCCGAGACTGAACAGTTTGATCTACTCACTCTAGCTTTTTGAACCGCTCAAAGCCAGCTGCCACATACGGGCATCCATTCTGCAGCTCCTCTAGCTCAGTGACCCGGTGGCCCTGCCTGGGGGTGTAGATGTTCCTCACAGCTACAGAGGCATGAATGGTGCTGGTCACCTCATTCAGAAACGCTTCAAAGGTCAGGAACTGGCGCTGGTTCACCACAAACTTCCTTCCACGGAAGAAGGAGTCCCCATTGCGATATACCATCACATTCTTGGCCACAGGGGCCAGAGCAATTGTGTTAGAGCTCATTCCTCTTGAGCCGCGTCCACCCCACTGATCATAGAGAGACAAGCCGATCAGTGCAGGGCAAAGGCTGGAAGAGGAAAACCCCAGCAACCCTTGTGCTAAGCACAAGCCCTTGCTGGCTGTCTCCCTTTGTGCTCCCTCTCCCTTCTCAGAGCTGTGTTCTGAAAGGGACTCTTGACGTTTCCATGGCTGCAGCCCCAGCAAGAGGAGGGAGTTTTGTAGGCCAGCCTGGAGGCTGAGTCACTCAAACGGAGAACCAAACAGCTCCTCAGTACCTCTCCTCTACTACGCACAAACAGCACCAAAAGCTCCCTCACAGCCCAGCCCAGCCCAGCTCCAAAATCAGGAGATTGGATGGCTCAGGAGAGCAGACAGGGCTGATTACCTCCACAGCCCAGAGTGGAGGTGTCTGAAAGTTGTCACTCTCTGATAACTGATAACTGGGGACATGAGTTTGGCAGGTGCCAATGCAGCACCTAGTTGACAAGTATCTTCATCACAAAGCAACCCCCCCATCCCCCTGCATTAATTAGCTCCCTAGTTAACATCATCAAAATGGACTATGGAAACTGAACTACTCTGCTGGCCTGCAGGAGAGGAAGAATAATCCAGTGGCTAGGGTATTAGCTCACAACCGGGGAGACCCAGGTTCAATTCCCTGCTCTGCTGGGGGGGGGACAGAAAAGTACCTACAATAGAAAGATAGTTGGGGGGCGGAGCTTGAACTGCTGCAGACAAGTCTGGTCAGCTGGCAGAGGAATTCAAGCCAAACACCTCTCACTTATATGACAACCACTCAAAAAATATTTCAATGCAAACAAAACTATACTTGCCCCGTCTTCTCCCCCTTTCTATTCCACTGCTGAGAGCATAGATTCAAGACATCAGCCTGATTCCCCCATCTCTGCAGAGGGGTGAAGAAGTGAAGCCTACAACAGCTCCTCTCTTCTCTTCTTGAACACAGAGGGCCAAATTTTCATCCTGCTTAAGTTAGTAGCTCATTAGTCTTCAATAGGGCCAGAAAGTTTACATTGGCTGGAACCATCAAATTCTGAAGTACCCCTCCATACGTTTACAGGGCTAGTCTGTACTAAATGGAGTCAAGTCAAAGACATATGCATTAAAGGATGCATCCAACAGCTTTATTTACATCGTGAACAGGTTACAACCTGGAGAGCTTTCCTTCAACATATACTCTGTCATCTGAAGCAACAGCCTCTGCCCATCCCTAGCATTTGACATTATAGCTGAGGTTAGGCTTGCTTTGCTTTTCACTGGATAGTGTCCGTGCTAGGTGGAGGGATCAAGACACCATCTAGCCCAGCCAATGGCAGAGACAAATCTGGGGAGAGATCATATTTTATTCAGAAACAAAAATGGAGAACAAATGAGTATGTTCAGGAACTGACACAGTTTTCATTGGAATAGTTCCAGACTCTACATTAAATATGTGTATGATTGCACGTGGAAAGAGATAGAACCCAGAGCATCTGCACTCACAAAGTGTTAAGGGTCTGGGATAGGGATCAACCATGCCATACGGAAAAATCCCCTTTCTGTTGTTCATGGGTTGACCATTAGAACAGGCAACAAAGCCCACTGGGAAAAGCATCTGGTTAGAGAATACATTCTGTACACCCAGGGCCAAATCTTGTGGTTAGCATTCTGCTGGAGTGAAGTCTGCAGGGTTTGGCATGGAGTATTTTGGGATCTCCAAGTCTTGAGAACAGAGTCATGGTATATGGGAGGCAGACTCTTTCCAAATACATGGCTCAGCAAGCTGACTACAAAAAGCCATTCCTACTCTGTGGAGGGGAGCCCATTCCTCGTGTTCAAAGCACCAGGCTGCTTCCCTGCAGATCAGTTCAACCACAAATCATCAGCTAATCATTTAAAGAAAAGTACATAAACAAATCAGTCTGGCTGAGATTTCCCTCTCAGGCTCAGTCAGCAGAAATGGGGTTCTTCCGGGTGAGGGCTGAGTAATAACCCCTTCAGTACATATAATGTCCTCCTTAGCGTGGGGCAGATATTTAACACGTGTCTTCACCAAGAGTTTTCAAGTTTAAAAATAAACATCTTCATCGTAACTAATTCTTATTCTGATGAATGTGACAAAGTCCCAGTGGAAGTCACAAGTTAACCATGAAGAACATCTATGCCACAGTGGAGCTAGTGCTATCCCAGGCAGCTGCAGTTCATGCTGCTCACGCGAGGATTCCCCTCCTGCAGTGGATGGGACACAGTCCAGCTAGTCCCAGAGAACGCTGCTCCTCCATTACAAGGTGAGCATACTCTGCATCCCTCTGAAACAGTTTCCTATCGCTCGGGAGTCCCCAGCCTTTGCCTCAGGATCAAATACTACAAGACAAAAAGGAAATCAAATGATTGCTTAAATCTTGCTAGACTTGAAACCAGAGAAGCATCTGTCTGCCTGTTACCCAGCTACCACTGGAGTCCTCATATGTGGGGAGAAATCCTTAAACATTGAAAGGAACGCAACTGAGGCTTGTAGGGCTAGATTTAGGTGTCTTCCTCCCTCTACTGGCTACTTGCTCATGGCCAGGCAGAGTGCTCTAATATGCTAAGGATCTGTCCTATGGATGTTGCCTATTCACAAGAGGAGCAAGTGGACAGAGCAGAGGGACGTTGCTAAGTATACACACAGCAATAGTCACATGCAACGAAGCACTTTACAAACTTAATTAAGCAGTGCATGCATGCACGCCCACCCAGCCAGGTGTGCACGCGCACGCACACTATAGGTGAATAACCTTATCCCGATGTTATAGACAGGGAACCTGAGGCACAAATTGCAAGGTCCCACAGCAAGTCAGCAACACCTTACCTTAGTCCTAGGCTTAGGCATATAGAAATCTTTCTCCCTTTGTGCCTACAGTTGGAAATAAGCCCCAGCATGCCAGGTTTACCAGTGTTGGGTTGCCTAGCAGAGTACCTGGCATTTTAGACAACATCCTCCATGTTTAATTGTTTTTAGAGTAGGTTATGGTTAAGATTGTCAACCCTCAGTGTCCTTCAGCAGCAGGAACTCTTACTAACACACACACACACGCCCCCGATGACTACATTACTAATCCCATCCACTGTTGCGGGGAAAACACAGAATTCCGTACCCACATCTCGGTAGGAAAGTGAGAGAAACCGAGGTAGAGATCTAGCAGTTGAAGCCAGGGACTTCCAGGAGAGTCAGTATTCCTGCATTCTACCCCTGCTCTGCCACTGACTTAACTGTCTAACCTCAGGCAAGTCACCAAACCTCACCATGCCTCATTTCCCTATTTATAAAATGGATGTGATACCACTGACCCATATCCATAAAGCACTTTGAGACCTTGAGATGGAAGGTACAATATAAGCATTATTCTATCCTTATTTCTTTACCAACTGATCATTGCTAATTCACACTCATGCCTGGAGATTAGCACTGAAGGCAGATTAGCATGTAAGTGAGAGAACACAACAATAAAGAAATAACAGACCCTACCTCACAAAACATATTTGGATAAACTAGATGAACAAGTGTGGTTTAGATTAGAATATGGACTGTAGTACATTCTAGAAGAGCAGTGAAGTCTTTGTAACACACCTATAGCTAACCTCAGCCATATCTTCATCTAATTAGCTGATGTTTACACATGGAAAGTGCTGTACAAGTGTTAAATATTATCATCTCCTGCAGAGAAGAGAAATGCACCTCCATCATCTGATTAAACTCCTATGTAACTAAATATTCATCCTGGAAATCCAATCCCCACCACAGTGATTAACCGCAGATTCCTCTTGCAAACGTTTGTCTGGACAAGCCAACCTCTGAACACACCAAGAGGCAAGGACAGGCTCTTACATTCTTACGGCTCACGATAGCTTGTTGCAGCCACAGCAGCTCCATGGCCAAGTGATTTCGATAGCACTGGAGGTCAGGAAGAGTTTGAGGCAGCTCCTGTTTTATGCTCTTGGATGGGAGCTCTGCACAGAAATGGAAAACAGAGATTAATGCCATTTAAGGGGTTATTTGGTTTTATAGCCTAGATCCTCTTTAGATCCCCTCTTGTGTTCAGAGGCCAAACAGGGGCAGGAGGTACTCTTCCCAAATTCCACCCACAATCCCAGGGGAACTGAATGTTTTGATAGAAGAATCAGCAGTGAAACAGTTAACCACCTTAACATGCAAACTGCTGTCAACAGGTTTCAAAGTCAACAACCCATTGCAACAAAGAGAGGCAGGTCACCCCATTTGGAACCAGAATTCTATTTTGTAGTATTCTCGCTTCTCATATTGCCATCATCACTGTAGTATCCAAGAACACACGACTGTTAAACCAAGCCAGTGCACACAGACTTGGAGCAAGCTATTTAGAAAATTAACCTCTTTGCATTCCTCACATCTTATGAAAGATGCACATCACCTTCCTTGGTTTGCAGAGTCATACTATACAGAAGCTAGTGGGTACAGAAGCTAGCTAATTTTCCTGTGTGGTTACTGCTGGCAAAACTGGGCCAATCTGTCTGTATTATTCACTTTCTGGCTCCATAAGAGGCTGTTTATTTTCTTGTGTCTTGTACATCAAGAGAGAGATACCTTGGATACTAACCTACTTCCAACTGTGTCAAAACAAACACATGCACGCATGTCCACAAACAGGATAAAAATCAAACACTTTTCTGGGTAAAATCCCTACACTCTTGAACAAAATCCATCCTGATGGACTATCAGAGTTTTCTAGAGCTAGAGCCTAGAGTCTTTCCAACACAGTGTTCCCTAGACTCTGCTCTATACTTGATCATGGTGCCTACGTAGAGAGGTTATAACACTGAGATATTGTCTGCTTTGAGGATCTGCAGTTAGTCTCTAGGACCTACAAAGAAAGGAAGTTCCTAACTTAAGCAGCCCAAGCAAGACTATGAGCTTGAAGAGTATGCATAAAGCTGCTTGGAACAGAAAAATCTAGCTTGCTTGTGATCAAAGGCTTTGCAGAAAAATCTTTAATCTGATCTCAAGTACAGCAAGGACCTCCCCCTTCCCCTATGCTAATGGAAGAGGTGACATGGAATGTATTTAGGCAAACAAAGGTTTGGATAAGAGGGTGTATTTTCCCCTACAATTGATGCTCACTGGGAGGCAGAACCTACATTTGGAAAATGGGAAGAGTTGAATAAGAGGGTTTTTTAGGTGAGAAACTTGGAACCCTGCCCCAAACAGGGGCTGATCAAGGTTTCTGAACTGGTGTGGAACCAAGTTTAGTTTGTCCTTGCAGTTAAATAATGTATATCTGCAATAGGTAATTTCGTAGTGTAGACAAGACCTTGGGGAGGAGATATGATTTAAACAGGAGACTCACGCGAGAAGCCCCAGACTCTATTCTATGCTACCTCTTGGATAAGATTCATTGCTCTAGTCTCTCTGTTGTATTCCTGAGGCTTTTGTCTCCCCAACAATCTAGCTCAGGTGGGTGAGTATGTTGCCAGGTTACACATGCCATGCTGGAAGGGTTCAGAGGTGCTGGCTATAATGTGTATCCCTATTCCTGTTTCTTACCCTGGCTGACTGCAGTAGACCCTGTCTCCGGAACAGTGCTGCTCCATACAGATGATGCATTGCTATAGTTCTTCCATTCCATATTCTCCCCTGACAAGCTGCTGTCCTGTCCAGTGGATTTATCTGCAGCACGCTCTGGATTTTGCTTCACTCTGTTGCTTTCACCTCTTGAAACCATCTCCTCACCTTGAAGCTGGGCTGGAGGTTTCAAGTAACTCCTACAGTCACAGTCCTTTTCTGGTTCTAGTGTCTCAAGAGGACAAAGCTTTTGCTGCCCTTTATCAGTGTTGTTCTGGTCTTTGGATCCAGACTCCTGATCAATTAATCGCTTTACTTTCATCTGCTTCTGGAGAAACAATGTTTGAGAAGTTAAACATGAAGGAGAGTTAACGAATAGAGGGAAGTAATAAAACCATCCAACAAGGTTAGATTCTTCCTGGCCAAGATGATCTCGCTTAGTAGATGTTTGTAACCAGCTCTGGTAACTTTCCTCATTTGTGGGCAGAATGAATTTCTGGAAAGCAGTGAGGAAAGTTACCAGAGCTGGTTACAAACATCTACTAAGCGAGATCATCTTGGCCAGGAAGAAACTAACCTCGTTGGATTTTTTTATTACACTACAAACACTGCAACAGAGCAAGTCTCAGATAGTGCCTGGTTGTATTATGGACAGATGGGGTCTGTCATGGAGAAGAGAGAGTTGGTTCTTCCAGGCTTCAGCATCACGATTCGGGTGGTTAACACATGGCTAGGTTCAGTCTATAGTGTGAGATGGAAGCTTTAACTTGTCAGAGGACAAGCAGGTTTCCCCAGTATGGCTGCAGTTATAGCGTTTAGCCAGACCATAGTTTGAATCCAAGCACAAATCATGTGATAATGAAGTCCAGAAACTACCTGCTATATGTAGAAGTGCTGAATACCGTTTTAGCTACACAATTTTTTGTAAGAAATCCCTATTCACAGAGAATATGCCAATCATATCAGCAATGCCAGCCTTTGCCAGGAGCGACAGCGTACCATGAACTGAATGGACCATACCTTTTGAGGAAAGAAAGGCGTTGGTATGAAGCGTCCTTTCCACTGCAACTGACCCAAATCCCCTTCAATCTCCTTTACCGTGTTCTCATAGTCCTCCTGTAAGCTATGGAACCTCTTCCTCACAAGATAACCCCTGACATAGGCCTATGAAGTATAAGACAGAGATCCTTAAATAGTCATAGAGATGGTTGACGAAGTTTCCCAATACAGAGACGATTTGCAGATGCTTCAGAGGGAATGAACAGCACAGGGCAATTTTGAGTGATACATCCCCTGTCGTTCACAACCAGCTTCTGGCATTAGAGATAGGGCTACCGAGAGCATCGGGTTGCAACCCTGACCATCTTGGCTAATAGCCATTGATGGGCCTATTCTCCATTAATTCTTTTTTGACCCCAGTTATACTTTTGGCCTTCACACCATCCCATGGCAATGAGTTCCACAGGTTGACTGTGTGTTGTGTGAAGAAGTACTTCCTCATGTTTGTTGTAAACCTGCTGCCTATTCATTTCATTGAGTGACCCCCTAGTTATTGTGTTATGTCACAGGTAAATAAAACACCTCCCTGTTCACTTTCTCCACACCATTCGTGATTTTATAAACCTGTATCATATCCTCCCCTCTACTCATCTCTTTTCAAAGCCAAACAGTCCTAATCTTTTTATTCTCTCCTTGTAGGGAAGCTGTTCCAATCATTCTTGTTGCCCTTCTCTGCGCCTTTTCCAATTCTAATATATCCTTTTTCAGATGAGGTGATAAGAACTACATGCACCATTCAAAGGTGTGGGCATACCAATGGTTTATGTAGTGGCATTATGATATTTTCTGTTCTATCATCCCTTTCCTAATGGTTCCTAACATTACTATTACTTCACAATACCTTAGATTATTAAAACAGAAACAATCATTAATAAAATCTTAGAGCCCAATACTGCAAATGCCATATAAGGCACGATGCTAACTACCCTGATAGTCCCACTTAAGTCAAATAGACTACCAGATATAATGCTTCTGGCCATGAGTAGTGAATATTTGCAGGATCAGGCCCTAACTTATTGTTACTGCTTAGGCAATTTGTTGGTTTATTTTTGTATTTCTTCTGGCTAAGACAGAGAAAACAGCCCATCAATTTCACTGTGTTTCTAGTCAGCGTCACTTTCTATATGTCTAGATGTTCTCTATGTATATAAATCTCCCCACTGTATTTTCCACTGAAAGCATCCGATGAAGTGAGCTGTAGCTCACAAAAGCTTATGCTCAAATAAATTTGTGAGTCTCTAAGGTGCCACAAGTACTCCTTTTCTTTTTGAGAATACAGACTAACAGGGCTACTACTCTGAAACCTGTCTAGATGAAAGTGATTGATCTGAAATAAACAGGTTTCAAACACTACAGGGAGTTGTTTGTGTGTGTTTTAAAACTGTTTCCACTGGATTTTGTTTTCTCCTAATTTTCAGTTTTGTAAAACTTATTTTTACAAAGCCTAAATTCTCTCACTTAGTCTTTTTAAAAAGTTTCTTAGAATAGAATGAAGAACACAGTTCCAAGTGTGCTTTTCAAGTCACTTCCTTAGAGGGTAAGATTCAAGGTCTTGGGAAACCTCTGTTCATTGAGGAGATACATTTCTCGCCTATTGGGATATTGCCCCAGACCAGTGGTTAGGTTCTTTTAGAACGAACACATCCCCGCCCCCGCAGCAAAGCACCAATAATGAAAGTTTCCGAGAAAGGCATCCACCCTTTAAGGAACATGTGGCTTACTTATACCATATTATGGCTTGTCTACCATGTCTCATACCATGGAGCTACTCAGGAATAGCTACTGTGCCTTAAATTCACACCCTACCTTAATCCAAATTAACTTTCAAATGCAAACAAACTCTGAATACAGATAAAAATGCACCAAATTTGAAGTCAATGGGAATTTTGCCACTGACATCAGTAGTGCAGGATCAAGGCCCCTAATGTTATTTGTATATTGTGCCTGTATCTATGAAACACACAGGAAAAAACTAAAGACAGGCGCACCAAGGAGCTGTGATTGCTCTGGTTTCAGTGAGGGGAAAACTCAGGCCTGGAGTAAGAGAACAACCCACCACCGCCTTCAGTGGTGCTGCACCAGCTTATGGCAGGGAGGTGTTTGACCCAGAGACTCCACACTAAGCGTTAAGTGCAAGAGACAGCAGGAGCTGGGGCATCAGAAACAGATTAAGAGAACTTTGCCCCTTGTCTCCCAAGATGTGCCAACACCAAGATGCACCCCCCCCCACTCCTCCGATATACAGTCATCCCGCCCGGGGCCTGCCCCAGATGCACCCCCCCCACTCCTCAGATATACAGCCCTCCCCCCCACGGCCTGCCCCAGATGCACCCCCCACACTCCTCAGATATACAGCCCTCCCCCCACGGCCTGCCCCAGATGCACCCCCCCCACTCCTCAGATATACAGCCCTCCCCCCCACGGCCTGCCCCAGATGCACCCCCACACTCCTCAGATATACAGCCCTCCCCCACACGGCCTGCCCCAGATGCACCCCCCCCCTCAGATATACAGCCCTCCCCCCCACGGCCTGCCCCAGATGCACCCCCCCACTCCTCAGATATACAGCCCTCCCCCCACGGCCTGCCCCAGATGCACCCCCCTCCTCAGATATACAGCCCCCCCCCCCGGCCTCCCCGATCCCCCCCCCACTCCTCAGATATACAGCCCCCCCCTCACGGCCTGCCCCAGATGCACCCCCCCACTCCTCAGATATACAGCCCCCACCCTCACGGCCTGCCCCACCTTATCCCCAATACCTGCGCGCGCGCCTCACCTGCAGCTTCATCACCAGCCGTTGCTGCTCCGCCGCCATCTTCCCCCGAACCGCCGCTGCCGCTGCCTGGTAACCGGGCTCCGGCCAATGGCGTCATCGAGTGGCGACAGCAGGCAGGGGATTGGCTCTTCCGCCTCCCGCCCTGCAGTGGCCCCTAGATACCGCCCTCTTGCGGCACGTGCGGGGCGGAGACCCATTACTGTCGGTCCCACCTCAGTCCAGTAGCCAGCCTGGGGCCAGCAGGGGGAAGGGCAGTGAGAGGCCCCATGTCCAAGTGCCACACAGGCTGGGGGCTCCCCGCTCTGAACCCCTAGCCAGTCAAAGGTAGTGACCCTCTGGAGGGGTATAAGGGGGTCCCCCTCTTTGCCTCCTGACCAGCTGGGTGATCTCACAGCAGAGCCCCATTCTTGTTGGCAGGATGGAGGGGGGCTGGGCCAAATACAAGTGAGTGACATTATGACCAAGCACAGGGCATCACTCAGCCCCTCACGTTTGGGGTAGCTGGGCCACTACCCTGGCCTCCTCCTTAGCAAAATTCTGGGGGCACCCCTGCCCTGAACCACCTGCTTTCCAAGGGAATCTTTGCCTCTTTGTCTGGGGTAGAGTAGCTCCCAGTGCTTTACCCCCATGCCTCCTCCATTCAGCCTCAGCCCCATTTTACAGATGGGCTAACTGAGGCAGAGAGCGATTAGGCAAGATTTGCAAGACAATAACAAGCCTCAGGATTTAGGAGCCTAACCCAAGACATTGTAAAAGGAGCTGGAACACGCTCAGCATTTTTTGAAAATCAGGCTCCATTCAGGTGTCTGACATTGGACACCCACTTCCATTAGTCACTTCTGAAAAAATCACAAGCCTAGGGCAGATGCAGGAATTGAACCCAAGAGTCCTGGCTACCCCCTCCTTTGTTTTAAACTTCCATCCATTTTTCCTTCTTTACACCTTAATTAAAGTGGTGGAGAAAACAGCAAAATACCACAACTAGTTTATTTACATTACAATTTCATTATTTAGTGCTACATTCTACTACTAGAAAAACATTTTGACACAAACATACACTCACCTATTCACTTTCAGTGTCAAAGTGAAGCAGCTTAGCTGTTTAAGACTGGGTGTGTGTGCAAGTGTAGAAATGTTAGTTGTTTAAACTCCTCTCTTCTTACTTGTGGTGTCTGGTCTAGCAAAGCCATCACTTCTATCCTTGTTGGAATGGAAATATTACCCAGCTCCCATAGAAAGAATTTCCATAAAAGGCCTGGGGTATTTTGCAAGAGGGGTAGTTATAGGCCTCAATACAAAAAACTGTATTGTTGCAAAAATTCAACCATTAAAAAATGTTGGAGGAAAAGGATCAGACAGCAGCATCGGTGAATGACTTGTTACACTATGAGCAGAAACTTTTCTGCGAGCTCCAAAACCTGTTTCATTTCAAGTGATCATACTTCTCCTACGTGGTTTCAGTTCCGTGTTGACCGCTGCATTGTGGAACAGGCAGAAGCTAAACCAGCAAAAGCCTTTACTGAGCTTTTCTTGGCTGCTGCTTCTATGTTTACATTTCAGGTAGTTTCAGGCTGGTGACAACTGCCAGATACACAGGGCTGGAGCCAGAGGGACAAAGTCTGGGAGCGAGGAAAGAGGGGAGTTCAGTCTTCATGGCCTGTCAGGCCTGGATCATTCTGCTGGGAGGACTGTCAACAAGGAAGCCAGTTACAGCTGTTTGTCCACTAGGAACTTGACTGAAACCCACCAAACTCATTTCACACACAGCCCCTCGAATGGTCCAAACTGAATCAGGGTGGAAGCAACAGCCTGAAAACGAAAGGCTCTATCTCCCCTTAACAATGCTTTGTTTGGATATGGCACCTTTTATCCAGGAATCTCAAAGAACTTTATACAAGGTTGCTTAAGTATCATTAACCCATTTTTAAAAAAGGGAGGGGGGGGGCAGGGAACTCAGGCACAGAGAGGTGCAGCGACTTGCCCAAGGTCACACAATGTGCTGGGAACAGACCAGGAGAGAGAACCCAGTATGGCTGATTCCCAGTCTTTCCTCTACGATTTTCTTGTTTACTTTTAAAGTTATCTTGACAATGTTTGGCCTTTTCAGATGCTCTAGAAATCCTGGATTTTGATAGAAAATTATTGGACAACATGCCCCTCCCCCAGCCCAGCCCACCCCCAAAACACTTTCTCTTAGGGGTGTCCTTCCTTTTATACCCCTACATTTCTGTACAGTTCAGAGATGGACATGATGGATTCAAGCTGGTGGAGCTTTCCCTTAGCTCCAGAATTCTCAATGCTGCCCTCTGTTGTCTATGGAGGGACCAGGCAGCCTTTTCAGCTAGGCAGTGGCAGCATCCTCCAGGTCTGGATTCTCCGCTAGATGTAGCTTTTGGCTGAGTTTTACGTTAAGGAAGAAGAATCATCGATCAAGCTGCCACCCCATCACTGACAAGATCCGTGAGGGGAGAGGCTGGAATTCCTAACACAAACCTTCCAACTGAGCCCGTCTCTCTACCCAGTAGCAACGGCACCGGAACCGGGAGAACTGGGGGCCCATGGCCCCTCCACTTTTTAACATGGGCGTAGTTTCGGGAGGCCGGAGGCAGTGTTGCCCCCCCTAAACTGCAAGCCTTGGGCAGGCACGGAGTGGAGCCGGCAGGGGCTGGGCCGTTCCGTGCCTGCCCAAGGCTTGCAGTTTGGAGGGGCAACGCCGCCCCCCGCTGCCCAAACTACATCCATGTTAGAAAGTGGTGGGCATGGCTCCGTGGCCCCTCCGGTTCCAGCACCAGTGCCCCCCGCCCCCGTACAAAGGTTCTGGCGCCCTGGCTGGTAGCCTGTGCAGCACAGGAACATAGGATTTGTCAATGGTTCGTACCATGCAGTATCCTGCCTCATCAAACCAATGATCCATAGAATATAGCATCTCCCTGCCCCAATGGGACAGGCCAATGGTCAATAAAAAGTCTGGTCTCCTCCCTCCAGCCATGGTCTGTACATGAAACTGTGCAGACAACAGAAAAATACTCCTGGGGAACTGTGCATGGCAGAGATGGGGGAAGGGTTCCTTCCTGACCTCTAGGGAGAGCAGCCTGAAGCAGGAGATTTTACTCCTCCTTATCCTGCACAGCCAATGACGCAGGATTTCCCATACTGGATCAGACCACCAAGCCACCCCGGCTGGGATTCTGTCTCCAAGAGTGGCCAGTACTACATGCTAATTCAAACTGGTCCCACAGTTATCCAGCTCCTTCAGAGACTCAGCCAAATAACTCACTCCATTCATGGCGCCCGGTTACCCTTAGCAGTGGATTCCAGCTAGCATCCTTCACCGCTCTGGCTCAGTACATTAGGGCTCCCTCTAACCTCTTGCCCACTGATGGGCAAAGGATGGCATGTGCTGCTCAGAGAGGTTACTCACACCTCCAGATTCCACACTCAGGCGCCTCCTTCCAACCCAACCTTCCCTCTAAAATGGTGTCCTACAGATGTCTCCATGATAGGCTCGCCTGGAAACCTTTGGCGCCAGCAGAGTCCTGACTTCTTTGAAGCCCCTGGCAATTCCCAAGGAGCCTCCAAGCTCTACCGGACTCTCTGCCTAGAGTCTCTGGTAGAAGATGACCAGCATCTATTAATGGCACCTCATATCCAATGCCATGGTCTCGGGAGATATTGGAGAGTGGGGCTCAAGTGTCTCAAAGCTGATTCCCTCTTCCCTGCCCTGCCCGAGGGGTCACCCAGCTGTGCACATACAAAACAAGCCCCCTGAAGAATCCCACAGCCCCCGGCAGAAGGATACATGGAGTTGCTGAGCTCTTCCAACTGAAAAGGGAAACAGAACCACCATTAGAACAAGGTGACACAAGCAGCTATGACAAAAAAGGGAACAGGGCTCCGCCTTGCCTTTGAAGATCATTAGGGGGCATTATCTGTATTGTGGTAGCCCCCAGAGGGGGTCGGGGCCCCATTGCACTAGGCACTCAGAGCAGCACGGTGTAAGTGCGGGGCTTGAAGGGAGCAGGGATGTGGTCGAGGGTGGGCTCCGGGGTCAGCCCATGAAGGGGGAACTCTCTGGTACTCACATTCGTCAGCAACTGATCTAGGTTCCTATCTGCCACCGTCTTCTTCTGGTCCTCAGAGAGCTCCTCCACGTAGACATCCAGGCTGAAATGCAGGCGCGCCAGCTTCTCCTGCATCTCCCGGACGTGCTCCAGCTGCTCGAAGGAGCACTCCTTCCCTGTGCCACCCAGGACAGGGACCTGGTTACACTCAGCCACCACGACACATCTTCTTGCAGTAGAGATGCCTAACCCACTGTCCCAGGGTTTCCCATTGCGGATGGACTGGGCCTGCCCCGGACATCACACAACAGGATGCGTAGCAGGAGCCTCCCCAATTAGCCAGATCTTCCAGCGCCAGCCATGGTGGCTTTGGGTGGCCCTAGCTCCCAGCACCCCAGGGCCAGGCATTGATACGTTGGGGACCTCATTCAGGCTGATGAACCCCCCCCGATAGAGGAGGTGCCCCCTGCTTACCAAAGGCCTGCAGTTTGCCCGAGTGGAAGTCGTTGAGCAGGTTCAGCAGCCCCCCCTCCATCTCATAAACATCTGAGACGTCAGTCAGGAAGGAGTGCTGCAGAGGGGCCCCCAGTGCCGCGCCCCCACTGCCCCCAGGCTGAGGCAAACGAGATTTCTCTTTGTTCACCCTAGATAGAAAACACAAACCCACATGAACGTTGCCGGGAGGCCTTTCCATGCCAAGAGATGCAGCCTCCTAACTCGTTCGCCTTGTCTTTCCTCCAAGGAGCTCACCGTGCTGAGCCCCCCACGCAACAGAGATAGGGGACCCAAGAGACGCTTCCAGCAGTTCTGCATGATGCAGTGCGCTGGTCTAGCCTGTGTGAGCATGTTGTACCCAACCACTAGAGGGAGACAGGTACAGCAGCCTGCTCCTTACAGCTAAAGGGGGCTATTGCTGTAGCTCCAGTCCTAAAATAAAAAAATCATCATTTCTGGAGTGTGTTCCCAGCATTTGCAGTAAGTGATTTGCTGGAAGGTGAAGCAGCGTTCCAGTACAAAGTGCCGGACTGGCACCGCAGAGCGTTCCGGCACAACTCGAGCCCTGGGTAGCTCACGCAGGAGTGGCCTGTGTGGTTTTGGTGCTCGCGGTCTCAGGTGTAATACCTGGGGACAGGCAGCATTTGTAACCCAGGCTCCCCATCATCCCAGCCCCCAGCACTGACCTTTTGAACTTGGCCCGTTGCTTTGGTGAGGGCAGGTGAGGCAGCCCCAGAGAGAAGGTGGTGCTTTTGCTGGTGGGGACGGGCAGCTTGCGCAGAGCACTGGATGACGCAGGCTGAGCTAAGCCAGGCTTCGGACTCCTCTTCTTCTTCTTGTCTTCCATCTTGAGAACCCGATCCCCAGGCGGGGGCCAGTCGCAGGCTCAGTAACACACTGCAGCAAGGAACCTCTGGGCATTGAAAGAAGGAGACACTGTTCACAAGGGAGACAAAGCCCCTATCTTTCAGCCCCTTTCTCCAGCGTAGGCTATTCAAGTGCAGACAGAAGTTGCTCCCGTGTGGTTAACTTACAACAGGGGTAATCAATCAGCGGACCGCAGGCCCAAGCCAGACTGCCAGACGCTTTTGAACAGACCCTCCCCAGCATATTTTTAATTGACTTATTTTTTATTATTGTCTTTGGAATCTGGACCTTCCCTATATCTAGGCTGAGAAATTTGGACCTTGACAAAAAATAATGGATTACCCCTGACCTGGGGGCTAAGAAAAAGAATGCTCAGTACTGCTCAGATTTCCCTCTGCCCCAGATCAGGAGATCCGCCTGAGGTATTTATCTGAGCACTTCACAGTCTTGAGGGTATTTATCCTCACAACACTCGTCTGAGGCAGGGAAGCGTTATCTCCACTTAATAGATGGGGAACTGAGTCACAGAGGGGACTCATGCAAGGTCACACAAGTAGTACGGCAGAGCAGGTTTTGAACCTGGTTCTCCTGACCCCCAGGTTAGCACTTTAACCATGGGGCTTCTTTTCCTTTTCACCAGGAAGCATTTTTCTGAAGGGTGGGAACAGCACCCAGAGCCTCTCCAGAAACGGCCCCTGCAGCAAGGGGTGTCTGCAAACAGGAGCCAGGAGAGGAGTCAGGAAAAATTACACAACCAAATGACCAATAGAACAGGGTCCAGACAACCTGCTTTGCCCAGCCTCTAGTCCTGCCTCACTCCCCGTCTCTCCCTTTGGGTCATGAGTGCTAATGTGAACTGGATGCATCTGTGACCATGAGTTCCACTGAAACTTCTCTTTTCAGCCAGGAGGATCCTCAAGTGTCTGCCAGACCAGGAGCCACACCATCTGCTGCTGAAATGTGGCCACCTCTGGGATAAGTGGGAGCTAGATACAGGAGTGCATGTAACCCCCTGTTCAGCATGTATTACATATCCCCCTTTATGCCCATTACATTGACGGCAGACCTCTGATGCAGGTCCCAGCTGGAGGACTCAGGCCTATAGTGGCTCATGCTCTTAGCTCTGGAGGTCCCCAGTTCTGTTCATGCTGAAGGTCACTTGCATGGTTTTGCATCTCATCCAGAAGAGGACAGCACCCTGGTAGCACAGGACCCTTAGCACCATGCTGGGGCCAGTATTACTTTCATTCACAGGCACTTGTGTTGCCAGTGGAGGTTTCCTATCAGTACAGTGCATGCCCAGAACACTGACTACTCACTGCCCCAGGAAGATGCAGTAACCACAGTATCATTTTCAAACCAGTCACTATGTTGAGCGGGGCCCATTGCCCTTACCCAGCTTGACCCTGCTTAACAAGTTCAGATGAGATCATAGCCTGAGGGATGTATTTGGTTCTCAAGGCATGAGAAGAAATATTTAAATACTCACATGTCCAAACAAGCACATACCCTGTGTCTCCCCCCCGCCCTGGTGCCTTTCCCAAAGTTTTACTTTCTCTTCTTTCTACATCTGTCCTCTAAAATATTAAAATGCACTCTATGTGTGAGTATATTTGTAAGTGTCAAGGCTCTCTTTGTATCTAACAAGACAGGGAGGTGGGGGCAAGGAAATAAAGCAGCTATTCAATTGGTCTCCAAGTGCTGTATAAAAATTTTAGCGTTTAAGAAGAATCAAAATCCTGGTTTTTAAAGTGACACTCCCAAGCAAGCATTTAACACTGATCAGTCGTAATCTCAACCAGCAGATGATATCTTCCTACTACAGATCCTCAGCTGGCCTAAATCAGCATAGCTCCACTGAAGTCAGGAGTTTGCCAATTTACACCAGCTGGGGACACAGCCCATTGACCTCCATGGACCTAGATTGATTTACACCAGCTGAGGATCTGGCCCATTACATTCAAACAGAAAAGGCCAGGCTGGAAAAGCAGACTAAAGCTCAGAGTAAGAGCCCAGGTCAAGAAGAGAGGGTCAATGACATTCTGGGTTTTTTTTGTTTTTTTTTAAAGTAAGAGGAATTCAATGAAGGTGTTGACGACACTTGCTCTGGGTTTATTTCTATTTAATTAATTACCTGCAGTGATTTTTGACCTGCACAATCTACTATTATTTATAAATAACATTTTATATTTAAATGAACAATCAAAAGGCTGTTTGGTCATTTTCTCTGTTGTTTTGTTAAGAATTAGGCAAAAGGGGCCCTAGGGAGCAAATTGTGCACCTCCCAGAGATGGGGCAGGGCAAGATTCACCCACCCTAATGTTCTTCAAGTCTGAGGGGGTAAAGGGGAAATCACGTCAGGCAGGGAAAGATGATTTGGATCTCCAGCCTCAGCAGAGACTATCAGTTCCCACTGAGAGGGTTTGTTTTGTTTTAAACATACACCTGATAGGAGGTCACTGAATGAAGACAGCTTTAATGTACTGCTGACATGGGATTTGAACCTGCGACAAAGACATGAAGGGCTCTATCCCACCACCCTAAGCTGTGCAGAACTCTGTCTATATTTTTTAGAGACTGTACATTTCAGTACGGGGCTCCTGTGTGTTTGTACAATGCCTCCTTGAACAATGGAGCCCAGATCCCAATCAAGGCCTCTACGCGCTACTGCAGTCTAGGATTCCTAATTACACTGGAAATTTAGCCTGGAAACACTTTGGCAGGTCGAACCAACAAGCCCAAACCCAGCCCTTGGCATGGCGCTATCTCAGCGGAAGTGGGGCTCCTTCCGACTTTATACCGGCCCCATTGATCAAGCTTTAATAAAACACAGCAGGGCTCTTGCTAGTCTTCCTCCATACGCCATTCCCATTGTTCTGTACAGTGGCACCTCAGCTGAAGCTGGTCGCTGCTGGGTCCGATCACAGCCCTGTCGTAGGTGGTGGAAACAGATCCCTCTTTGTTCAGTATGAAAATGGCTGTGATTCCTAAGAAGTTACCCAGACAGTTACTTCAGAGTATCGCGGTTTGGGTTTGGTTTTTTAACTAGCAGCATATCCACCGTCCACCCCCCAGACACTGGACAGCCATGATGAGCAGATTCAGAACCGATCTTCATTCCCACCCTAGCATTGCACGCCTGGGGAGCGAGCTGCACCCGGGAAGCCGATTTCCAGAGAAGAGAAAGGCCAAGATCCGGAGGACAGCAGCCGCCCCTCCCCAGCGAACTGCCGGGCTGCCCCGCACGATGGTCTCTAACCTCCCTGCTCCCCACCCCTCAAAAACCCCGCAGCAGAAGCCGCCGCAGATTAGGGCTGCACAAGCCCCAGCGCGCGGACCAGAACCCGCAGAGCGCCGCTGTAGCCGGGCCGCGTTCCAAAAGGGAACGTTCGCCCTGTCTCCGTTCCACCGCCCCGCCCCCCTCCCGTGCCGAGCCGAGCCGAGCCGTGCCGAGCCGAGCGCCCTCCGAGGTGACACTGACCTGAGAGGAGCCCCCCGCGCCAAGGCTGCAGCGGCCTGACCCCGCTCTGCTCCCAGCGGCAGGGCGCCCTGCAAGGCTCGGTGTCCACAGGGCCCCGGCGCCAATTTGCATTTAAAGGGGAAGGGGCTTTCCTCCGGCTCCCCTCGCGTCCAGGCGAGGCTCTTCAGACGCGCAGGCTGATGGCCGGGGATCAGGTCACTCGCGCCCCAGGGCAGATTTTGCCTTCATTCCCGCGTAACGCCTCCCCTGCCCTGACTTCAGTGGGGGCCACGGCGTGGCGGCCGCCCGCTCCGTGAGAAGAGCGGAGTTCAAGCCCGGGGTCTGCATGTATGTCCCTGGGTTCCCCGGCCTGTTTTCATGGTCAGTGACCAAACACAGAACAGCTCCAGTGGTGTGAAACTGCGGGGTCACTGTCTGCCCCCGCCAGAGTGTTCCTTTACCGCCGCTGAGGATCTGGCTCAGAGTCTCTATCTTTCCTTTCCTATTCAGAATATATTCCAATGTTCCTTTCAGCAGAAATGTGTATTGAAACCGCTAGACTCATCCAAAGGAGAGGGTGTTGCCAGCATTCACAATTTTATCTTGAGTCTCAGAACATAGGGTCTTTTCTTCCTAAAGCCCCAGCTCATGGAGTCATGTGATTATCTCAGCTTAAAAGAAAAATAAGCTTCTAAGTAGGGATAGGATACAGAGGGACCTAGACAAATTGGAGGATTGGGCCAAAAGAAATCTGATGAGGTTCAACAAGGACAAGTGCAGAGTCCTGCACTTAGGACGGAAGAATCCAATGCACCGCTACAGACTAGGGACCCAATGGCTCGGCAGCAGTTCTGCAGAAAAGGACCTAGGAGTTACAGTGGACGAGAAGCTGGATATGAGTCAGCAGTGTGCCCTTGTTGCCAAGAAGGCCAATGGCATTTTGGGATGTATAAGTAGGGGTATTGCCAGCAGATCGAGGGACGTGATCGTTCTCCTCTATTCGACATTGGGGAGGCCTCATCTGGAGTACTGTGTCCAGTTTTGGGCCGCACACTACAAGAAGGGTGTGAAAATATTGGAAAACGTCCAGCGGAGGGCAACAAAAATGATTAGGGGACTGGAACACATGACTTATGAGGAGAGGCTGAGGGAATTGGTTTCAGAGTAGCAGCCGTGTTAGTCCGTATCCGCAAAAAGAAAAGGAGGACTTGTGGCACCTTAGAGACTAACAAATTTATTAGCGCACAAGCTTTCGTGAGCTACAGCTCACTTCATCGGATGCATACAGTGGAAAATATAGTGGGAGATTTTGTATACATAGAGAACATGAAACAATGGGTGTTACCATGCAGACTGTAACAAGAGTGATCGGGTAAGGTGAGCTATTACCAGCAGGAGAGCGGGGGAGAGGGGGGAACCTTTTGTAGTGATAATCAAGGTGGGCCATTTCCAGCAGTTGACAAGAACAGTAGTGGGGGGGGGGGGAATAAACAAGGGGAAATAGTTTTACTTTTTGTAATGACACAAAGTAAAACTATTTCCCCTTATTTCCCGCCCTACTGTTCTTGTCAACTGCTAGAAATGGCCCACCACACAAAGTAAAACTATTTTCCCTTGTTTATTCCCCCCACACACACTGTTCTTTTCAACTGCTGGAAATGGTCCACCTTGATTATCACAACAAAAGGTGTCGTCGCCCCCCCCCCCCCCCCGCTGTAGCTCACGAAAGCTCATGCTCAAATAAATTGGTTAGTCTCTAAGGTGCCACAAGTACTCCTTTTCTTTTTGCGAATACAGACTAACACAGCTGTTACTCTGAAACCTCACCTTACCTGATCGCTCTTGTTACAGTCTGTATGGTAACATCCATTATTTCATGTTCTCTGTGTATATAAAATCTCCCCACTATATTTTCCACTGAGTGCATCCGATGAAGTGAGCTGTAGCTCACAAAAGCTTATGCTCTAATAAATTTGTTAGTCTGTAAGGTGCCACAAGTCCTCCTTTTCTTTTTGAGGGAATTGGGATTGTTTAGTCTGCAGAAGAGAAGGGGGGTGGGGGGATTTGATAGCTGCTTTCAACTACCTGAAAGGGGGTTCCAAAGAGGATGGAGCTTGGCTGTTCTCAGTGGTAGAAGAGGACAGAATGAGGAGTAATGGTCTCAAGTTACAGTGCGGGAGGTTTAGGTTGGATATTAGGAAAAACTTTTTCACTAGGAGGGTGGTGAAGCACTGGAATGGGTTACCTAGGGAGGTGGTGGAATCTCCTTTCTTTGAGGTTTTTAAGGTCAGGCTTGACAAAGCCCTGGCTGGGATGATTTAGTTGGGGATCGGTCCTGCTTTGAGCAGGGGGTTGGACTAGATGACCTCCTGAGGTCCCTTCCAACCTTGATATTCTATGATACTAGCCCTCCTGGCTGCAGAGAAAAGCTTGAAAATGTGACCCCCCAAAAGAACAAAATTTGACATTTACTATTTTAAAAAATTAAGCCATTCTCTTGATTTTTGGGGCCTGCCTCATGATTTGTTTAACTCTCAAGGAATGTCTATAGAGCATTTCGGAGTCAGCTTCCCAGCCTGGGGTCGAAAGACATGGGCCGGGGGGGACTTGTGCTAGAACCCTAAAAATACCGGTGTTGACAGTGCTTTGAAGTTGCAGTTTGAGCTGGAGTTTAGGCTTTGAAGCCTAGGGAGGGGGGTCATATGTCTGTGGACCCAGGCTGGGAGGCTTGGTCCAAAATACTGTCTAGACATACATTTAAGGTTCACTGTGGCAAACAGGGCAATCTCCTGGATGGACCTTACTGAATTCAGTTAAACCTTATTGAATTAAGTTCAATGCCTTTGGTGTTGATGATATTAAAATACAGTTGTTGACATGTCATTACGGGATTGTATGTAATTTTCCTAGGACGCACGACTAATGTAAATCTTGGAAAATGGTAGGAACTTCAAGCAACTTTTTGAAACAATATGAACTTTTAAAATTAAGTGGGTTTCCCAGGAAATCCCTAGGAGGCAGGAGTATGCTAATATAATTAATCTGATTAGTCAAGAACTTGACTTTTGGAAGTTTTGCCTCCAGGAGAGGACCCATTGTCTGGCTGATTACCTTTTCATGGTCTCTTTGAAGACCCCCTTTGTGGATAAAGGACTCACTTACTGATCCATGAGGGATCATGTTCTGAGCAAAGGGTGTTAACAAAATTGAAACCACCAGAAAACCCCTGTGTGGGGATTTGAAGGCCTGCTCACCAGCCAGAGCCCATGCTGGAGTTGGGGTGACCTCTTGGAAGCTTATTAGCACATAGAAAAGGAGGACTTGTGGCACCTTAGAGACTAACCAATTTATTTGAGCATGAGCTTTCGTGAGCTACAGCTCACTTCATCGGATGCATACCGTGGAAACTCATGCTCAAATAAATTGGTTAGTCTCTACGGTGCCACAAGTACTCCTTTTCTTTTTGCGAATACAGACTAACACGGCTGTTACTCTGAAACCTGTTATTAGCACATGTGTAGGTTCTTTTATTATTTTTAATATGTTTTGTCTGTATTGCTTTTACCTTGGGACTAAAACGCGCTTGCAACCATTCAGCCTGGAAATACCCTGATCAGAAGGGAGAGAACCGTGGGTCTCCACCCAAGAGAGGCCACAGCTGGGGAGCCAGCAGCCTAGAGTGGGTGCCCTTGCCGGACCATAGAGGAGGAATGTAGGTGCAGTTGCCCTGAACTAATGTATGACCATAATAAATTATATATTAAAATATATAGTATCCATATTATATATAGTATTGGTAAAATTATTCTAGAAAGCTATTAATACTTTTACTAACACATGCTGTAGCGTTAATATCTCTTTATAAGTATATCATGTTTTTAAACAGACTTTTAATATTGAAAAAATTATTAAATATTGACCATGCTAAAATTGATTCTGCCATTTCCTCTTGAACCTTCCACCGTCATGGATCTGGATCCTGCTCCCACTGCCTGTGGGCCCTAGCGGGGTAGTGAGTACGGTAGGTGCACATAATGATATAGAGAAGGGAAATATTGCTCTTGACAGGGCCCAGAATGGGCTAGTATGCAGCAGGACAGTGGTGTTGCACCTGTCTCAATCTGTCATCTTGTTCTCCAAAATCTCAGCTTGCATACATAAAATAATGATATTAAATAAGTCTCTGTTATGGTTGTGAAATCTCAAAAATGTGAACCAAGCAAGACTGCAGCAGAGATAAATCTGCAGAGAGCCTGGAACAATAGCTCAGAGAGGTGTGAACTGCCTCATTCAACTAAGAGAGACAGGATGGGTGAGGTAATATCTTTTATTGGACCAACTTCTGTTGGTGAAAGAGGCAAGATTTTCCAATTTACAGAGCTCTTCTTCAGGTCTAGGAAAGGTACTCAGTGTTACAGTTAAACACAAGGTGGAACAGATTGTTAAGCCTAAGGGAATGGGCGACAGCAGATGGGTCACTTGATGATTACCTGTTCTGTTCATTCCCTCTGAAGCATCTGGCATTGGCCACTGTTGGAAGACAGGATACTGGGCTAGATGGACCTTTGGTCTGACCCAGTATGGCCGTTCTTACGGGGTTAACACATACTGTAAAAGACTGAAGTAGATGGCTATTTTTAGCACACCAACCTGAGGTGAGCTAGCACAAGTCTGTCTACCCGGGCTGGGAGGCTTGCTCCAAACTGCAGCATAGACATACCCTGAGTGGTGTTGCCTGGTGATGCACACAGGCAAAGCTGGTCTTGTGTCCAGAGTTTGGAAAAGCACCACCATTTTCCTAATTTGACCCATTCCCTCACAGAAAATGCTCTAGAAGCTTTAGCTGGTCTAATGTCCTTAAATCCATGCAGAACAGATGGGATCTGGGCTTTTATGGTGTTTTTGGAAAGATTCCCCTGTATTAATTGCCCAGAACATATTGTATCTGTCTTAGATGTATAAAGAACTGAATAAAAGCCTGTGGGTCCTAGATGATTTCAAACCTCATGCTTACAGCACCCAGTCATCCCTTCCATTCCTCAACAAAGGGGACTATAAACCAGCAGGTATCTGGAGGTTGCCTGGCCATTTAATTCTCACCAAATATGTTTTTGATTTTGAGCCCGCAATGATTCAGCCTGTAACAAATCCTTCTCTAACAGGAGTCCAGAGAAGAGACTGATCCTTTATGGTGTCAATGCTTTAGATGAGGCTTTCAGAAAAGGGAACACGTGCAGGGAGATGAAAGAAGCAAGGAAAGGGTCCTGCTGCCTTTTGGGGGGGGAACCTCGGTCTGAGTGTGAGACTGCAGTGAGCAGTGGTCTTGTCACAGCACCTGGGGCTGAACTGGGGTGAATCCTTGAGGTCCTTTCCACCCTTACATTTCTGTGAAGATCACATCCCCTTTCGTCCCTACACATGACTTATAACACACAGCACATCAAACAGAAGGAGCTACCTCTTCAGCATGTTCTGCTTCCAGATGGCCTGAATTATAGTTATCAAGAAAGAA